GACAACGCTCGACCACACGTTGCCAAAGCCGTCAAAGAAACACTGATGCAGCTCGAGTGGGAAGTTCTCCCGCACCCAGCGTATTCACCAGACTTAGCTCCTTCGGACTATTACTTGTTCCGGTCGATGCAGCACGGCTTGGTGGATACACACTTCAGAAATTACGAGGATGTGCGAAAATGGATCGACGAATGGATTGCATCAAAAGACCAATCGTTCTATCGTCGCGGAATCTACGCGTTGCCCGAAAGATGGGAAAAATGTATAGCTAGGGATGTATAGCGAGGGAAAATACTTCGATTAATGTATTTTTTGCTTTTGATGTCGAAATAAATGAGTTTTTTAAACAAAAAAAACCGCAGGAACTAAGTTTACCACCTAATATATTGAAGATAACAAAATAACAAAATATCCACAGATTGGAAATTAACTCTTAATTTCTATATCACACAGAAAGTTTGTTACTTCCTTAGAGCTTAGAGAGAAGTTGCGTCATGTCTCCCAGAAGCAAACAGAGAGGGTTTGAATCGAGTGAGAATGTCCGCATGTAACCTTTACGTATCGCCGTCATTTTATCGGTAATTTTCCGCTAATCCTCTCGATCGTATCTTTCACAGGTGCTGCAGGAGAACACTATCCAGCTCCCGCCGTTGGCGCCTTTCAACACCGGCGGCATCCCGAACAGCCTCGGGCTGCGGTTGGAGGCTGAACCGCGGCACTTCGAGGGCGGCGGCGGCGGCGGCGGCGGTTTCGTGAAAATCAAGTGCACCGCAGAGGTGGGCTCGCGAGTGTTTCAAGCCCAGCGCAAGGTGCTGATGGCGTACCTGAACAACCAGAGGCTCAGCGCCGGCGATCACCTGCACGCGGCCGCGCGCAGCGTCCGCGCGGGCCTGCTCGTCCCGTTCACGGTCTTCGCGCTGGTCCTCCTCACGACGTGACCAACTGGTCTCGCGTGAGTCAGCCACCTCGGGAATAACGTTCTAGCGCGCGTTCGCGGGTCCGCGCGGCGGGTTCAGTGTCAGTTGTCCGATCCTTACCTATAAAGAGTTAGGCTTAGCGATTAAGCGACGGCAGCCGGGCGCGGCGATCGCACGACCGATCGCCGAGCTCACGTCGGAGAGAGTCGCGACCACAGATATCTATGAAGATCGTGAACCTCCGTTACATACCTCCCTAGATTCAGTGTACTCAAAAGCTATGTACTTAAATAATTAGCGGCGGACTTAGTAATCGATCGGAATGTAGTTACCCTACAAATTGAAGGATTTTTCGTTTATGAGGTGACTGAGTTCAAATGTGTGTGCGCTGTCGATGTGTATACATATGAAGTGTGTACGCACACTTGTACGAATTGTATATTATACACTGGGATATCTGGGAGTTAAGGTTCTCGGTATAGTATATAAATGTCTGTGGCCGTAACTGGAGCTCGCTCTCGCGGCCCGATCGCGCTTTCGTGTCCAGCAACGATACACACCGCCGTTTGTTACGATAATTTTCGTATGATTGTTGGATAGAAGGATTGTTGGAGTTGAAGATCTCGTTGGGGGACGAGACGATTGTATGGTGGCGTGATAAGGATGAGAATTTGTGTTAATTGCGTTGGAGAGATGGCATTAATTAAATTTAATTAATTTCAGAGTACTGTCGTGGATTAATTGGTCACTTTAATTTGTCGTTACGTCAATTATTGAGTTTGTGTCTTGCACGTCGATTCCTGCATGAAGAGTCTCTCTCATAAAAGGTTACATTCGGGATCGATACACAGCGCGCTAGTAATTTTGTAGACAGGAAGTAGTCGGACGAGCGCGCGCTTCCCCGCATATTTTAAGCGACTTTATAGATCAGTATTCCTCGTTCGGCGGATACTTAGTCGAAAGTTTTCCCGTAATTTTCGCGGCGGCGGCGCGGCTCTCACTTCGATTTCTCCTTATCATATTTAACTCCCGATCCTTTTAACGAGTTCGGAGGACTCTTTAAAGTTCTCATCGATTGCGGCTCGCAGTCGTCATTAACTTCTCATTCAAGTTTTAAGATTTTACTGCTAATAGCAAATGTCACAAGCCAGATAGCAGATAACGCGAGCACGAAGTTGTCGTGTAACAATTGCGACATCTCGACGTTTATCTCAAGCTTCAATTAAAAAAATATCAATTCGTTTCTATGAAAGATGCTAGCCGTGAGTCAAACTGTTCGTTTGAGTACCAAGATTAATTCCGAGTATCAAATTGTGGTGTTGATTGAACTAAAGTTCCTCAAGTCAGGGTTAGGACGTCGGCCATTTATTGGAAGGAAGTGAGTGAGTGAGAGAGAAGCCTGCAGTGTGCTTTGTCATTTCAATATTAGAACTTCTTTCTTAGGTTTGGAGAGTTTCTCTCTCATTTTCATTTACGTTACTTTTAAAAATGGCGGATAGAATGCAGACCAATCAGAAATCATTATGCTTTGTGCTAACTCCACAGGTTTCTTGTTTGTTTTATTTGTTATTTTAAATTTCGTCAACTTGGATAAGTCGAATAAAGTGATTCGCGTGAATTTCTTAGCAATACAAGTTTGGAAATCCGCACTTGATTCGCGTTCTATTGTCTCCTCGTGTCCACTCTGCTTTATATCCCGACAATTACAGCCGTAGAATTTAGACCGAACTAACTGTACTTTATACGGCATGCAGCGTCGTACAGCAGGGATATAAATTCCGGTACAACGCGTGCAAATTCCGTTTTATGGCACGCGTGAGATTAACTACCGAAACGCATATAAGTTGCCGTGGCCGCTGTCGCGCGAAACATGCCTGCGAATTACGCATAAATCGATAAATGGATTTATCGTGCTGTCGTCCCGACAAAGCAAAATTAATATTTCGGATACCGCGCATTGCAAAATACGATCGCAATCACGTTGGCTGCAATTACGAATAACAATTTTATCGAATGAGCGAGAGAGACTACCTTTACAGGATCGCGTATATACAGTGTCCCAGACCACTATGATCACTTTGTGAGAACGTAGAACGAATTAAGATGAGCAAGAAAGTCCCGTGCCGTTTTGTGATATTCACCATAGTTTTCGAGAAATTAATTATTTTGTCTGAGCTAATGATAGCACGGGAAGCGGCAGCCGAAAGAAAAATGTCTTCAGTCGGCGCGCGACTGTGACACTCGCAAATCGCGGCTTGCTGCATTCCTCCGCCCATTAGCTACGAGACACAACAAGGTTTGATACACTAACACATATGCATGGCATACCTGTGACCCGAATTGACGCCGAATCGAAGCGTGTCGGCGCTTCGACTGTATGTAGAGATGAAATAGCGAAGCGGCAAGACACTCTTAGATTCGATGTCGATTCGGCACACATATATGTCATGCACATGTGTTAGTGTACCAAGTCTCGCTGTGTCTCGTAGCTATGGGCAGAGGGACGCAGCGAGCTACGATTCGCGAGTGTTACAGTCGCGCGCCGGCCGAAGACATTTTTCTTTCAACTGCCGCTTCCTGTGCTATCATTAGCTTAGACAAAATAATTAATTTCTCGAAAACTATTGCGAATATCGCAAAACAGCATAGGACTTTCTTGCTCACCTTAATCTATTCTACGTTCTCGTAAAGTGTGATCATAGAAGTCTGGGACACCCTGTATAAATGAAAAATTTGCGATTATCGGCAAAAATGCTTTTCATGACTTCGGTTTTCGCGCGACAAATAATGAATAACGTTGAAAATTTGACCAAAACTCGATATATTTATCCTATTATAATAAAAAAATATGAAAGTGTCGAGTTTTCATATAATATATTAATATATCAATATTTCAACGTATTGTAACGAAATCTTCCGATTAAACGGAGTTGTTTAATTAACCATTTATTGTGGGGACTTCTTTTTTTAGATATTTTTTAAAGTTAAATTAACTATAGTGTATCTATTATTTTGTCCGCGAACAAAATTTATTCATTTCAATCGCGCTCGCCCACGCATGCCATTATTATTCTGAGGGATATTTCCACGCGGTCGTGAAATCGCATGGGTTCTCCGTAAGTTTCGAATATTCGGCGATTTTTGAACGTGTCACGTATGATCGTTCGACAAGTCCAATGGATTTTCACTCCGGCAAGTGTAGCCAGTATAGTTTCACATGTCTCGTCGCTGACAACAAAGAGCGTTTGGTCGCGAAAGAAGCGAGCACGGACGTATGAGCGTGAAGAAAAGAAAAGATTTTGCGAGGGGAGGAGGAGATGGAGGAAGAAGAAGCGGTCCATTCGATTGCTCTTCAGTGAGGACGCTATAAAAGAGGAGCAAGCGTGACAGGAAAGTAAGAGAATGCGAGTGCGAGCAAGTGTGACGGTGAAAGTGAAACAAAGTTCGCGTGGTCGGAGAAAGACAGAGGCGTGCAAAAAAAAGAATGCAAGGACGAATAGCAGGGTGGAAGAAACACGTTGTGTGTGCGCGATCCAAGTGGAGACGCGAAGTTTGACTTCAAGAATGAAAGTAGGTGTGATATTATAGTATCTAAGGCGCGACTCGTCGGTCTTCCAAAGTGGCCATCTCCGTGTTGAAACCGCCGTTTGTTCCTTCATTCCCGACACGATCTTCCATTATCAAGAGACCGATTTTCTTCGATTTACCTTATCGTTCGCGCACAATAAACTTGTGCAAATTCGCCACAGACTGCGTGCCGATGCCGCTGCGTACTATCGCGTCATGCTATCGAAACTTTGCTCAAACGACCTCTTTAATGACGCACTGAGAGAAAGTAAGGGTTGATCTAACTAACTAAAATTATAGTTATTTTTGGCCTCGACCACATCTCTTGGTTGCTCTGACACGAGAATGATAGTGGTGACATGCGTATGTAAGAGGTTATTATTACTAACATCACAGTAAAATTTAATTTAAAAAATGGTTTTCTTGACCATAATTTATAGCAATTATTTCTCTGTATGATTATACAAATATACCAAACTTTCTCTTTTCTCAGTGCGAGATTTGTTTGAATTTTTCCGAGTTATCGCGCGATAAATCTGCCCACACGTGCACACGTAGGCACAGACAGCTAGTAGTTTTGATCGACGCGCAAACGCAAGGTCGTAAATTACCGAAGATGGCCGGCTTTTGAAGAAAGCGAGTGACTAATGGAAATAAATGGTAACGGAAGCGTACTTCAGGCGTGAAGTGAAAACGTGAGAATGAACGCGACTGGCCTCGCCGCACATATCACATCACGACGCACGCACGTGTTAACATGTGCTCACACGCAAACAAACACATACACGCAGAATACACATGCCCGCGTACGTGCGCGTACGTCTGGATTAAGAGATGGAAGGAGGAGCCATCACCCCGCAGGGTGCACGGGATACGCATATATCACGAGACAGTTTCCTTTTGATCGCTATCGCTCATCGGGCCGAGCGTTATTTATTGGCCGGAATAATTTACGAGTTCGCGAGATGGACTCGCAGTGTGTAGTGCGCGTAAACGTCTCTTCCGGCCGCGATATTCGGCCGGACTTTCGATGCGTGGATGTGCCATTTATACGCGAATCCACCCGCGGAAAATTCCAGCACGCATATTCGAGAGCCACTCCGACGGCGGAAACGACGCTTTTCTCGTGTATCGTTTTTCCGATCGTACATATTTATGCGCGCGTGCCTGCGCGCGCACGTGAGACAAGGAAAAATAATAATTATTCGTTGGAAAATAATAACTATTCAACTGATCCGCTTCCTCGGATCTCGTTAAAAATGATATCGTAGAACTTTAAACTTCTTGAACGATCTCCTATCGAGAAGCATCAAGTTTTGTTGCATAAAGATGCACTAAACAAAGCGCGTTCGACGCGTAATCAAATAATGGAGTTTTCTAGAAACGGAGGAACAGTAAACGGTTCGCGACAAAAGTCAAACGTCTCCAGGAGGCGAATAGGATTCTCCGAAATGCGCTTTTGCAGCTCAGAATATACATACGCGTACGCACGTCTCTCTGGAAGAAGATGTTTCTCCCTCACGTGTTCCCGCAATCAATAGGCACTTTGGTTTTATAGGTCCATAAACTTCGATGCGGGCTGAAGTTCGCGGCAGGCGGCTTATTCTCTCTACTCACGGGCGAAACACAGATTTATCGCGCTTGCAGGACGCTTTTGTTAACGATAAACCATTCATCGAAACGGCTCAAGTTTGCAATAAAAGCAGTCTACCTAATCGCGCGAAATGCTTGCATCGCACCGTGTCAATCGAATTTTCTTGCAGCGGTCTTCTCTCATAAAATCGCTGTTTACACGCTTCTGATTTCGTTAAAATCGACCTTCCGTAGTTTAGACGTATCGCAGAAAATTTGGCAATAATGTGATATCAACGAAATTAATTTCTCCGACAAAACAATGCAGTATAATGCCGCATTGTTCCGTATAATTTACGCGTATCGAAATAAACGGTACATTAATCCGTTATCGACAATTAGTTTTCTTAATTAGGTAATTCATAATCGAATTTACGTTTCTTTTATTACAACGTACCAATATCGTATTATTAGCGAATTCAAAATAATTCAATATTTAAGATTTACGACCAAATAAACATTGTCGGATACATAAATCAACATTTGCGAGATTTAAAATAGATTCTAAAGTATTCAATCGTCAATTATTACAAAAATTCGTTATCATAGACCGTTTATCATCGGTCTACTTAGATTCGCATTTTTTCTTGTATGAAATAAGTGATGCTGCAAGTCAACAAATAAGAAAAGATTTATGAAGCTAAAATTGTCGTGCTATATTTTATCAACTAATGAGACTAATTATAAATGTTGATCTAGATTTCGACTCGGGTATCTTTGTATTCTCACTAAATTCGCTAAGCGATCGTTAAAAGTAGAATACGCCTTTTACATATCTAAAAATATATGACGCATTATTGTCCGCGTCCCGGCGCCTCACTGCAAATCCGAGTGCGTTATTTTGGCTGAATCTTTTTTTTAATATTTTTACTGTCTTAAGCCACGTCACTTAAAACGTCTAGACGTACTAATTTATAATTTACACGTCTCCCTTAAACGTGTAGAATGACGTGATTTAAAACTGCATGAAACACGTAAAAAGACCTTTAACCAAATTACACACTAATGCGTTTAAAAATAATACACTTGGATTTGCAGTGCTGCGTCTTCCCTCCTGACTTTCTGATCCAGCATCCTGACTGCTCCATTCGACATTCTGAATATTCGCACGTGGCACTCACACTAGCACCGACACCAACACTCGCGTAGATACAATTTGATCGAAGAAACGAGAGTTGATTAACACGATACTGACAAACTCCGTTAAATTACGAGAGCTGACGAAATATTTTGATCATTCAACTAACGCATCGATATACATATTCTACAGGGATATGCGTCGCTTAATACATAATGTAACACTTGGTTGTAGAAAAGCATACGTCGTGTGAGAATACCGAAACAAAAGCAACGAATAAAAGCAACTACGTCATTTCTGCTCTATCGTCAATCGTTGTTGCCCAGCATTGAAGTTTTCTAACATTGAAGTATTAGTCGAGTTATCGCAACAGTCAACCCTTCTGGAAAACATTTCCGACTTCAAGACTTATCTTCGTACGTTACATGCTTTTTTCGAGTGTTAAGCCTGATCTACAATATGCTCTTTGCATTCTGTTGCTTGTCTTCTGTCTTTTTCTGGCTTAAAGCTTAAGGTTTGAATCAGAAAGAGATAAAGAGAAAGAAGCAGGAAGCAAATAACACATTATAAATCAAGCTTAATACGTCAAACGAGTAACGAGTATAGTAACACGAAGCGATGTATGTCGGCACGTTAATTATTATATCATCCCTGAGTAATTCAAATATTTCGCTCGCTCTTGAAATATTAAATCAGATTCTTGTCGGCATCGCGTTAATTAACACCCATTTCTACGATCAAATTACGCATCTAGTGCCAGTGTCACAAGTGAGTACCTGGAGTGATGAGGTAGCCAAGATGCTAAGACGCCTTCAAGAAGCCAGGACGAAAGATTCAA